GGAATTTGTGGGTGTGAACGATAGTAGTAACTGTAACTACACCATTGGGAAGTGGGGGATGAAATCACTACTAGTTTCAGGTGTGTCACGTTAAATCAAGGCAGACTCACTTTGCAATTAAACTGAAAGCTATGCATTATTTGAACCCCTTCTTGCCTTCCAAACTGATTCAGCGTGTTCGGGATCTTGCACTCAGCCGTTGGGGAATGTTTTTCTGCTTCTCTGAGGGTTCAGATGATGTGTGAGAGAGGACTTGATACGTGATCGAGGGATGTGGAACAAGGACAACCGGGGTGGCATTCAGGCTTGAGCAGCACTTACAGAAAGCCGGTGGACTAGTTGAGTCTCAGCTTATTTCTAATTATAGTCATCCATTCTCTCTGGGTCTGATTTTCACTTGGTGTTCTATTTTCTTACCTATTATTTCTCCTCATAGACGTGATTATAATTTCAGGGTGAAGTCTCATTGCTCTACTTATTTCTGGCTGGCCTTCGCCCCTGAAGAGGGAAGGTCTTTCAATAAGGTCTGTCTGCGCCTCATTCCTGCCACAGCGCTCCATCTTTGGGAGTAGCGCCCTTATCTCTTTCCTCCTAATTGACTTCTTGCTCTCATCAGCAAATACCTAGATTCCAGTTTGGCCCCAAAGAATAGCATTTGAGTTATTGAAATCAAGATTTTTAAGTCTTCTTCCTTTTCTCTTTCAGCCCCTTTGATGTTCCTAGGATTTCAAAAGATGATGTTATGTTTCATATAGTGTAGTCTCTTAATGTTTTTCAGAATTTTGAAAGCAAGACCTAAAAAATATTATCCATGCATGTCCTATAGTTCATTTCATATCTTGCTTTGGTCTTTGAATGTGTTCAATGCTATATCGGTTTCTTTCACCCCAAAGTTAGTTGAGGACTTGAGGAACTTGTTTCTATATGACAAACACCTTCAGAATTCATTACATTATAAAAATTATGCAGCATGTACAGTTTCAAAGCTGTGAGGATTCATTTCATTGCCCTATTTCAGTCTACTTTTATTAAAATGTTTAAAAAGTTAAATATTGCAGGAAGAAGAATATATACTAATTAAGGCAGTGCTTCTCCCCTGTTAATGGGAAATAATTCCCTCTACTCATTTTTCCAGTGATTCTTTCCAATTCAATTTTTTTATATCTTGGGATTTTTTCATCTTGCAGTCTTTTAGTGTTCCTTTAGTGTTCCATGTAGCTTGTAACCAATCGTGGTTTTTTTATAAAGATAAAAAATAATTTTGAGGTATTGACCATTATTTCTTAGTAAATTACATTTTCTTGGCTAGCCCACTCAATAGATGAGATCCAATTATGTTACAAATATGACAGATAAAAAGTAATTTCTTTACAGGATTAGGAATTTCTTTCCTCAATTGATATATCATCTCAAAAGTCATTACTCTAATTATACCTAATTCTAATATTTTATTCTTGACTTGCGTTTCTTTCATGGCCTCAAATAATAAAAGTATTTTTTAGCATCTCAGAAAAAAATCCTATATAATAGAAGGGTAATATGCAAATTGACCAAACAGCAAAACAACCGGTTGCTATGATGCACACTGACCACCAGGGGTAGGTGCTCAGCCACAGCCCGGCTGATGACTGGTGAGCACAGCAGCGTTGGTAGTGGTGGGAGCCTCTCCTGCCTCTGCAGCAGCACTCTGGACATCCCCCGAGGGCTCCTGGACTGCTAAAGGGCACAGGCCTGGCTGAAGGGATACCTCCACCCTCTCTTCACTCCCCCCAACCCCCGTGCATGAATGTTGTGCACCAATAATGTTTAAGGACTACCCCTCTTTAATCTCATAACATATAAAAAATTTATAATGCATTATTTTAAAACTTAGAAACACTATAAGAGAACTAAGGAGTCAGAAAACACCAACTAAAAGTAATCAATGTACATACAAACATCTCTGAAGGAGCAGAAAAAATAATCATCTTTGCTACCTGCATTGCTGGAGCACTGGGAGTAAGAACAGGAAGGAAACCTACTAACGCTTATTTCCTCTGTACTTTTGAATTTGGCCCATTTGCATGTTTTACTACATTAAAAAAAAGTAATCATTTTTTTAATGATGAGCAAAAATTCACTAATCATTCAATGTGAAAACATTTTAGCACTCACAGTATAATTCCACTTCTCATTTTAGAAGGTTTAGGAAAAGCAAGGGAAATTGATAATAGCACACTTTAAGCAATAAGCTACAGTCCTGGCTACTTTCACTTAAATGGTTACATAGCATGCAAGCAGCCACCACATGACTGTTCTCTTTCTGAAGACAGCATGTCCTCCACTTTTCATTATAGGATATACTCAATAGTCTGGTCATAACAAAAAATCAATTACGATCATATTTTTCTCTGGTGCAAGAATCTACCCGGAAGTGTTCCTTTAACACGAGCCTGTGTTTCCAATTCTAAGAATTCCAGCTTCTAGCAGTGACATGAACAGCATGCTCAGACCGTCTGTCTGCCCCTCCACCCCACAATGCAGTTATACTTGGATCAATATAACTAACATGCTTTTTAATGATTTTGCTGAATTTGCAAGAAAGCAAGGGGCATCTTTAAGCCCCACCATTTCCACCAGCATGGAGGGTAAGTGTGGAGCTATCTGCTACAAGCCGACTTGAAAGTGAAGGTTGCCCTGAGGATATATGAGGAAACTAAGTTTTTGACTAACATAAAATTGGGAAGATAAGACTCTGATTCTTCTTTAAATCAGGTGATAACAAGTTTATAGTTCAGTAGGAGCTCCTGGCGCCCAGTCAAATCAAATGTGAAACTCTATAGGAAATAATACAGAACTTGGAAAAAAATGTGTGGTTTCTGAGGATTATTTTTTCTCCTTTAAGTCACTTAACTCCACAGCATGTCTTAATTGAAGGAGAAAAACTCAATTCATGCAAACACCTGGTAAAGAGAAAATGTCAGTTTTGGGTGTATCTTTTTTTTTTTTGCAATTGCATTATTTTCAGAAAACAATATCAAAAAGTGTGTGTTTTCCATAAAGACAAAAAAATAATTTTGAGGTACTGACTATTGTTTCTTAGTAATTCGCATTTTCTTGGCTAGCCCCCTCAATAGATGAGATCCAATTTGGCTACAAATATCACAGATGGGACCATTCTATCACCATAGGAAGAGACCATTTAGGTTGCTCGACTGATTTATCTGTGCAATTTATTTAGTGTTCTAAGTAGTAGAAGTCCTGATAATAATATATGAAATTTACTAAACATCTACTATGTTTCAGTAGTTTACTATTCTGAGCAATTTATATACATGTCAAAGTTTTATAGGTAAGTAATGTTTTTAGGCCCATCATACAGTTAAGGAAATTGACGAATGCACAGAGTGATTCAATAGCTTGCTCAGTATCATACTGTGAAAGGCAGATTAAACCCAGGCACTCTGACACCAGCCTTAGCAATCATGTGTCATTTCTGTGGAGTGTGTTTGCTGCTATCTGAGAATTGCTAAACAAAAATAAAAAGAATTTCTATTAATCTCAAATTATTTGTATTCTTTTTTTCATCAACTATAATATGTTCCTCAATCTTTAGTCCCCATTAAATGTTCTCTAGTGAATGTTTATTTTCAAAGAAGTAATATAAAGATAGAAGAAATTATTAGATTTATTAAAATTTGTCATATAGTCAGAAATATAAATCAGAGCTCTCTCATGGGCTAAAACAAATTTTAAAATTTTAAACGTTATGACCGTTCAAAGAAATAAAATTAACATTTTCTATCTAGCTTCAAAATATTATTCTTCCTCATTTCAAAGGATGGCAATTACAGAAAGCTGAATATCAACTATATGCCTCAACCATGTCAAATGAAAGTATGGATAAGGCATAAAATAGGCATTCTTCTTCTTGAAATGGTTTTATCTTGGTTTCCGATTATTTTTTAATGAAACCAGGAAGGGACATTCAAACCATGGCATTCTGATGTATCCTTAGATTTGCATCCAAAATCACTGTGATACTGCGAGGGCAAAAAACATGTAAGCAAATGGCATGGCTACTATATATATTATAATATCCAAACCTTAGACTGGGCCGCAGCTATAGAATTGTGTGAACTGGAATGAATGCAAAAATACATACATTTAACTCTCTTTCAATTAAATGGCTGTCAGTCCCTGCGTTCCTTTCTGGAGGCCTAGGGGAGAATCCATTCCCTTGTCCTGCCAGCTTCTGAGGGCATTTAGACTTCTTGACTTGTAGTTGGTTCCCTTCTTCTTTCTCTAAAGCCTACAACAGTGTATCAGTTTGGTCATTCTTTAGTAGTCACACCTGCCTCCTATTCTGCCTTCCTCTTTTGCTCTTTTTTTAAAAATTGATTTTAGAGAGAGAGAAAGGGAAAGAGGTAGAGAGAAAGGAAGGAAGAGTGATGGAGAAAAACTGATTTGTTGTTGCACTTATTAATGCATTCATTGGTTGATTCTTGTATGTGCAGTGACCAGGGATTGAACTCTCAACCTTGGTGTATCAAGATGATGCTTTGACCAACTGAGCTACCAGGCCAGGGCTACCTCCTACACTTTAAAAAAAAATCCTCGTGATTACAGTGAGCCTGTCTGAATAATCAATCTCTCAATCTCAAATTAAATCCTTATTTTGACCAGATCCGCAAATCCTCTTTTGCCACGTAAGGTAGCACTCACATGGCCCAAGAGGTAGGACATGGACATTCTCAGAGGGTCGTTATTCTGCCTAAAACACCTGTGTCATGAGATGATGGTCCTCCAGTTCAGTGATCAGCAACAAATAGTTGAAGGATGGAAGAGAATGATGCATGCAAGGGGACTCAAATAGGCCTAGTGATCATTTTCAGAGCTGGTTATAATTATGCTTTCCTGTTAGCCTTCGCAGGGCTTGTTTCCCGGTGCAGCATACTGCACGCTCACCTAGACGGCACTGTGGCTGGAGTGGCTAACCGCATGCTCTTGTTCTCTTGTAGAATCCAGTGAACATGAAGACAAGAGTGCAGGTGCCTCAGGGGAGACACCCTCCCAGCCTTATCCTGCACCAGTGTACAGTCAGCCCGAGGAGCTGAAGGAGCAGATGGATGATGCAAAACCAACTAAACCTGAAGAGAATGAGGAATCAGACCCACTGCCTGACAACTGGGAAATGGCCTACACAGAGAAGGGTGAAGTCTACTTCATTGAGTGAGTTTCACCCCTTTCTTTGAACATTGCCAAAAAGATCATAGTATATAAATCATATAGAGAACGGAGATGTAGTGAAAATAAAATAATGAGTTTTATTGTCTCTGGCATTAGTTCTTTGTTAGAAAACAATGGGAGAGTGCCTTCATACAGTTAAGGATCCTAAATTACAGCTATAAATCAAAGCATATAGTTAACAACTTCACTATAAAACCTGTTGCAGTAACGGGGGAAATGCTTACTCTGTTCTTCCAAGAGGCTCATGTAGTTCAAATCAAATAAGATAATCCCACATTTTGTCAGATTGCTGGAAACTTTCACCATCATCTTCAGTGATTTAACAGGATATAACTATTTAGGGCAAAATGCTTGCTGGTCATAAAAGAAAATATTTTAAGCATTTGACCCTGAAGTCAGGTATCGATAAAAGCATTTGTTTTTCTAGAGTTCATCATATTTTTTTTTTTTTAAATCCATTGTATTTCTTGCTTACCACTTTTATGACTTGCCAAGGAAACTAAAGTGCTAATCCTGAACTTCCTGATGATATTTACCCAAACTAATATTTTCTTTCTTTTGGGACTTCTTTTTCCAAATTGAAATTTTTAATATACTTTATTAATACTGTCAAACTTTTCTTTTATCTTCTAGAAATAGGACAACTTTTTTTAAATGAACTACTAAGTTGAAGCTCTTAGTACAAAATTAAATTGTTGTGTATAAGATAATCACAATGTTCACTAGAAAGAATAAAAACAAATAATTTAATTAAGCAACCACCTTTATTCCCTCAAAGTTGTATAAGCCTCAAAAAGAAAAAAATAATATAAATTGAAGTTTTCAGTGCTGACAGTGGATAAAAATATGTAAACTCTGATTATTCAAGAAAAATATTAAAATTGGATTCCTTTTCCCAACCTGGAGTGATTTGAGACTTAGATCTCCATAGGCAGAACTCAATTGTGAAATTGAAATGTTACCACATGCCAATATTTAATTCTCACGTGAAGGCGGAAACTTTGATACATGCAGCCAAGGGAATACATAATCAGGTAATTACTTAGCGCTCTGCTTGACTCCAATATGGATGAGAAATGCAGTGTTTGGGGGAAAATGAATTACTCTCATTCTCCTTTTGACAAATCTTGTAAGTTTTACAAAATTAAGAATGCCTTACATTAGTTTTTGGCTATCTTTAATAACCCAAAGATATCTTTTATAAATTAATTAGAAAAGAGAAAGTCATATAGAACTTTTTAAATGTACGAAAGTATTTATATTTGAAAACATAAATTTTTATTGGTAAGTATGGAGGCATTGTAGATCAGAAGTCAAAATATAACCCTAGAAGTGAGGTCACACATTTATGTTCAGAACAAGGAGACTGATGTTATATACATTTTATTATGGGATACAGGGGGAGTAAGGCTCTGTAAAAGAAAACCAACATGGCAAGTCGATTGAAGAACACTTTCTTTAAATGTTTCCAGTAAAGCAGTTATAAAAACCTTCCTTTTGGGGGTTATGAATAAACTTTTTTTTAGTAGTATGAGGTGTGGAGATTATGGAGAAGGGGATTTTGGATGACAGATGTTGTGCCAATGGTATATAGTAAACGATGAGACTTTGTCAGGGCTTGGGAGAATCTATCAAAATTATCCTGTTAATATCCTAGTCAGTCATCTAGTGTCAGAATTCAAAGACAAAAACATTTAGTTTTGCTCTCAAAGTTATTGTCAAGTTGGGGTAGAAAGATGAATAGTTATAAAGTATTAATAAACAATTTCTGAGTGTGTAATGCTATTCAGCGAAGGATATGCTTAGCATAGACTTAAGCTGTAAAAGAAGGCATCATACATAGATAAAAGGTGCAATAACATATCCTGGAAAACTTGGACATATCACATATAAAAACTGTTATTACAAAGACCCAGTCCCTGGATATATTACAAATAATGAGAAGTCCCTTAACCTACTAGGAAAGTAGGTCCTAGTTGGTGAATCCTTTGAAACAATTGCTTAGTTTTCATTTAGCTGGATCAAGGGTGTTTTTGAGAGACACGCAGAGGGTTTTGTTTGTTTATTTATCCTCTCTGTGTTGCTGCAGGGAAGGGTGAGTGGGTATTAGGGCAGAAATAGGTTGAGTTGGAAAATTAAGACAAAAGAAAGAGACAATTTTATCTGTGGTGCGAAAGCTGGTGCTGGGGGAGAATGCAGAAGCCTGGAGCAGAGACTGAAGTGAATGTGATGGGAAGGGACCAATGTAGTTGGCAGGAGCAAGTGGCAAGCTTGACGAGGTTATTACACAGAATGGAGGCATCACCACCCCACCCTTCATCCTGGACCAGCTTGAGCTTCATCTTTCCTTCCTTCAAAAAGTTTGCAGTGAATCTCAAGGATCAGTGTGATGAGCTCATGTACCACAGAGCAGGGAGGGATCAGTGATTCAATCATCTGGTCCCTCATTTCTACACCATCACGACCTGCCCTGCAGCTTCCTTTCTCTCTGCCTACATTTCATTCTGCTTTACTTTTCCCTGAGGGGTCTCTGATTTTCTCATGACCACTTCCACTCTTTGCTCTGGAATGCCCCTTCCCTTCCTAACGACATTTGACAAAATCAGCATTTCAGCCCACTGTCCTTGATCTGTGAGTACGTTTGCTATTGACGTCACAATGAGTTCTTCTGTGAGTAAAGTCTATACTATGATAGCTCCTTGGAACTATGTGGTAGAGCAAGACAGGGAGCTTGGTAGGGCAATAGGGCTTTCTGAGGGACCAAACCATGATGTGTCCCAGAAACTTTTAAACAAATACTATTTGCAATGTAAAAGTTTGCAGCTCACACCCAGCCAGTGCTGCTCAGTAGTTGAGCATCAACTTATGAAGCAGGAGGTCACAGTTTGATTTCCCATCAGGGCACATGCCGGAGTTGTGAGGGCTCGATCCCCAGTAGGGGGCGTGAAGAAGGCAGCCGATCAATGTATCTCTCACATCTATGTTTCACTCTCACTCTCCCTCTCTCTCTGTTCCTCCCCCTTCCACTCTCTCTAAAAAAATAAATAAATAATGGAAAAAATATCCTCAGGTGAGGATTAACAACAACAAAAATACATATTGGGTTTTGAATTAAGGTAACAAGTAATTTCATTATTTTGTCTTCTGTATGGTGTCTTAAAATAGTTAATAATTGACTCAGTATTGCAAAATTGTTTATATGTCTGAGTACTTTATGAGTTATACATTTAGAAAATGAGAATTTTCTTCGTTATTCTCAATACTGAACACATGGGCCAACATTTCCCATACTCTTAAGAACCGCTTCCTTTGATGAATGATAAAAGGAGATTCCTTTCATCGTTTACAATGATATTTAATGGGGAAAAGTGATTATCTCAGGAAGTATTTTTAAATAACAGAATTTTAACTTGTGAGTGAATGCACTCTTCCAAACATGCTTTAAAGCATTTGTAATATTTTATATTTAGCAATTTTCAAAAGACTTTCAAGTACATAATATTATTTAAAACCAGTAGTTTTGTTAACTCATCATATCATTAATGATATCTTCTAAAATATACAGTATATATTAATTATAAATTTAAATTAGTAATAATAGTTACCACATATTGAGTGCCTATTTTTTTCATACTGTGTTCAGGTTACCTTAACAACAATAGATAATATATTGAGCATTTGCATTGTGCTCATTTAATTCTCACTTTAAGAAACAGGCTTACAGAGGTGGCTTGTTCCTAGTCATATAACCAAGAATTGACAAGGCTAGGATGCTTTGGTTCCATTTATTTAGCATATGTGTATAGGGCACATGCCATGTGCTAGGAACCATTTTAAACCCAGGAAATACAGTGGTCAACAAAACTGACAAGACTGGTATCTTTCATGGGACATAGTCTGCCTCCAGGGTCCTTGCTCTTAACCATTTTGCTGTGGTGCCTACTTTGCGTATTTTATATTAGAACCATCCTATCCGTATTTAATGAAACCCCACTCTATAGATGAGATTCTGAGGCACCATTGGACAAATTAGCATTCCCAAGTTCTCGAAGTTCTCTCACCCTGCAAGGCCATTGCTATTATCCCATACCACCTCCAATATATAAACAAACATTGGCTGAAATAAAAGTGAACTTTTATATTACAATTGGTATCATTTTGTAAGTTTCTTGGCCAGAATTTCACTACTCAAGAGGCTAAATGTTCCATAAAGAAGAGCTGCCAGAGGGTTAATCTGGATTGACATGCTTTGGGAATCTCATTAAATTACTTTTTTTGTTTGCTTAGTGAGTGACATAAAAGAGACTGCTATCAGTTTGGCAAAAACAAGGACAACAAGCATCTATTTGTTTACTACCACACTCTTGAATGGCAGTGAAGGCTATTTCATCTTAAATAACAGGTTTTTAAAAGTAGACTTTGACACAGAAAATTACATCTGTGAAAAATGCCATGGTGGTACATGGTTTTATAAATCTTCATCAGGGTTCAATTTTCTTTTAAATTCTAAATTAGATACACAATTAGTCTGGTTCTTCTTATGTTGCTATTTCTGTATCTTCTTAAGTTTTAAATGAATCGCCAGTTACCATTATAAACAAATTTAAAGCTTTTGTTTATTAAATAGAAGTCAAAGTGTTTGGGAAATTTACTGGAGAAGAAAGAATACTTAGTTTTTTATTTTTTAAATTATATAAAATATAGTCAATAACCTCTAAGTTATTGTTGGCCTTAAACAGATATGAGTACTACTGTTATAACCTTAATATTCACACACATCTTGAATTGTTCAGTAGACTTTAAAATATTTACCTGGACCTTGTTTACCTCGTTCAAATGATTATGCTTCATTCAGTCAAATATTGACTTCAGTCTCTTATCATTATTCTGATATAGTATATACCAGGATGAAAATACAATTCACCTATCAATTAAAGATTGAGATTTAGAATTGGCTTTTTAGAAGGATTTTAAAAATTCAA